TCTCTTCGTCCTTCTACTGCTTTGAGTTTACCAAATGGTGGCGAGAGTTTTCTCAAAACTGTCGCTGTCAAGAAGTAGTTACTCAACAGTCCCGTCAGGGCTAATGGCCCTAGAGATTTGTAGAGTTGATAATTGAAGACACAAAGATCAACAAACGGCTTGCCCAAGCTGGAATACAGTGATGCAGCACTGGCACAGAATAGGGTCAAATCCTGCGTAATGTACTGATCGGCGAGTCCTACGCCTCCATCCAAATTCTGTAGCTTGTAGTAGTTGAGATGGTCGTTCAGATAAAGGTCGTGAATATATCGCGTAAGCCGGGTGCGGAAAGCAATGGACACCTTGCTCTGCAGGAATTTTATCATGGCATTAGTGTAAGATGAAAAGGTCCCAACGCCCAGCCACTTCACAATGCCCCAAAGAAATGCCTTGCCGTTGCCTGCAACAAGGTCTCGCACGATCTCGCCATCAAGCCGGGCTACAACCAAGGAAAGGTATGTCCGTAGCATGAGGAAGACGCTGTGGCTGACCAATAGTCCCGTCTCCTTGCTGTTCCATCTTGGTATCATGATGTTCAGCAAACTGAGGAACTGATGCAGAAATGCAAGGTTCAGGCCAGGCTTAGTCTGTGGAGGCGGTGCTTGTGGGTCGTTTGGATGCGTATCGGCTATGCGCGCTGCGCGCGGAGGCTGGAGAAAGAGCCTACGATGGGCATCAAAGGTCGTCTGCTTGGTGGGATGTATAACGACTTTAGACGTTGAGTCGCGATTGGGCACGTATATTGTCCGGGAGCCATCTTTGTTCTTCAGTCCCGAATTGCGCCTCAAAAGCCGCCGCCCTGTCTCCTTTTCTGCGCGTCGGCTTTTGTATAGTCGCTGGCCTCCATAGCCAGCGCCTATGATGGTGAAGAGGAGGGTGATGGTCGACAACAGCTTGGTAAGCTGGGATGCATCCCGGACGCGAGACTTGAGAAGCGTGGCATAGTGGTCGTAGAGTGCTAAGAGCGGGTCATGAGGTTTCCGTAAAGTAGATTGTGCGGCCATGGTTGGCCGTGAACATCCTTTCAAGGATGGTTCGCACGCCGTGGAGTGGGAAGATCGCGTCGGGTGGTTGAAGGTGGTGTACCTTGCATGTGCGTGCCATGACGCCTGCTGCGTTTGAGCCGAGGCATGTGAACGTGCCACGTGCGTTGGGGAAATCCGGGGTGGTGGGGCGGCAACCAATCGTCCAGCGGCGCCATCGCAATTAAGCTGTGCAGTTATGAAGCGATAGATTATGATAGTAAAACTACCAAAAAGAGAGCTCTCCTTGGGCAACAAAGGAAGCCTAATATCGCCAATGTTTTTGTCCACTTTTGTAGGCAAATGATCTCTTAGTTTCAGAACAAACAACCACGCAAATCCTTTATTGTTTCTTTAGTACCTGATTGTTTAGAAGACGAATTTGTTTAAAATGCGTTTTAATAAAGCTCTGCAAGCTGGATCAAAATTACATTGAACTCAAGAATTAAAATGTTGGGCTGAATAAACAAAGTCCTTGTTACTAGGAATAACCACAGATTTAGAATTTCGTCCTAAAACTGTGCGATAATTATGGCTGATAGCTAGAAGAAGTATAATGGGCCGTTGCGATCAAAATGACATGTCGACTTTGGTTAGGGCCTTTGGAAGGACGATGATATGATACCTGGACTGACATTCCAAATCCTCCGGTTTCCACCAGAATCGTTTTCTGCTGCCGAGATTGTCCACATCTCAATTAGGCTTCTTGGCTATAACGCCTGCAACAGGATGGTTGGTGCTTGCATATAATCTGGCCATCTTGCGTGATATGGTGGGGTTTCGGTCTGACGCGGTGCAGACAGACACCGCTCAAGATCAACCGCCAGATGCGTTCTCGCATGATTGTTGTAAGCCTTACCAAATCTTTCATCCCAAGCAAAATCCGTGAAATGGTGGACGCGCGTCTTCATGCGTCAGATTCGGCCACACGTTTCCATCGGTAAATTTATAGCTGCCATCGTATAAAGCCCCACTCTAATGGAAAACTGAGTTCAAAATTGAATTACAGAAGACCTGGAAGAGGAGAAAGTATAGATTTCAGCAGACACTGAGTAAACTAAATTAACAGTCCTATGTGAGCCTGCAGGTGGAGCCTTTTGCATTGTGCTCGATCCACAGCCAAGCTCGTGGACAATAGATAGCTATCTTGGGTGTAACTGAAATGGATACCTCGACAAAATGACAAGAGGGCGTGACGTATCATGATCAAAATACGACGCCACGATTGTCTGCTTGCGCCAAATCTCACTAAAATGCAAGAAAGAATTAGTTACTTTCTCAAATGTGACATCTGCACATCGGAAAGTATTAAAATATAGAACATACATAATATTTGTCGACAACAAGAGTAGTTGATGCTTATCATGGGACAGAATAGAGCAGTACTTATAGAGTGTCTTTTGTTAGTCGATCGTTAGAGTCGTCCCGCCTTGAATGAATCTCTGGTGAGAATCTTAGTGCCTTCCTAGAGTGCATAGGTGTCATTATTGTAAACTCTACGACTACCCAGGTGCGTATCAAGATTCCTGTATTTTACGACAGATTTACGTCTTGTAACTTCAGGTTCAACACGCCGTGAGACAATGCGTTTTAAATTGTGCACTTTACACTATGAGATTGCTTAGGTGTTACCTCAGCTGTAATTTTAAGTGTCTAATATCTGTGCAAAGTATAATCGACTGAGAAAAGTCTCCCACTCAATCTGGAAGGCGCAGTCTCCTGTGTTGGCATGAATGATGTGCGTTACTCAACTGCCGTGTTCGACTGATCTCAATTCATCGCGCAATTTTTCGTTGAGACCTAATTTGTTGCGTGATATTAGGTGGGTTGCCGTATGATTTTCAAACTATACCGTTTCGCTTGCAAAACAGGGCAAAGTTCATGATCATGGGCGGTCATGTCCCAAATGTTGATGTTTTTGTCCCTCGCTGGCCGGAGGATTTGAACATCATGGTTGATACTAAGAGAGCTGCCTGCGCGCTTGACTATCCAAGAGACAAGTTTCGTGTTTATGTTGACAATGATGGCCAAGGGAGGTTCAACTTAGCAGCATATTTTCAAAATCTCCCGCGCACAGCTTGGTTTCGCTACCTACTAATTGTTCTTCAGGATACATTGATTGGTTTCCTCAAGCCTTGCCTGCAAACTTTGTAGCTGGGCTCGATGCACACATGATCTCTCAGCCTCATTAGCTGTGGACATTCAAGCCACATCTAGTCGACGACCCGGATATGTGTAGCTTTGGCTTTTTTTTTTTTGAAAATATTTTGCCACATACTCGATAACCATCCAAAGAGCTAAAAGACGATAGAAGAAAGATTTGCAATAAGTGGTTGGTGAATCACGTGCAAGCTGCCGGGATATTGGTGCCATGGCGGGAGCGTGAATTCAATAACAATCGACAATCACTGTTCATCGAGGTTTCTCGCTAGATCCTAGCTTCAATGATAGGCTTTATTCAAGGTGGTAGTGATTGTTGTGCCTTGTTCGGTTGGGAGGGTGTTGTGCCTTCGAGCGTCATATTGGACTCGCGACTGTTTAAGCATTGAAAGTACAAACCACAATGCAAAGAAGCACCTGGCAGGCATGCCTGTTGATATGCAAATGCAATACAAGGGATGAGATACGATTGGTCTGCAACATCTTCCTAATTAAGGACTAGCATAGGAAAGCACTGAAGGAGCTAGTGCGGCTTATTAGTAGGAGGCGCTACTGTAGCTGGCGTAGCGCAGCGGCACGGCACGGCCCCGCCCTGCGTGGGGGTAAAGAGCAGCGACAGCCATACATGAAGTTCATGGTACGAGGTGTGGATGATAAATGAAAGACTAGGTGCCCTATGTGATCGGTGCAGGACTATTTTTTTGCACACGCCCATGCAAGTATGTACGTTGATTGACAATGGAGATATGCACAGTGTTACAGCAGGAGTAGCGCCTTGGCCTAACTCGTTATGTGCTGGCCTCGAAGACACCAAGTTAACACCGGCAAAAGATGTTGAAGTGCACGCCTAAGAAGGAGCCGTGTTAACCGTTGTCCCTGTTTTGATTTCTTATCCACCATGCTTTACCTGGCAGAGTCTGGATACAGCAAGCCCACAGTTGCTGTACGATGTACGTCTGGTGGCGTGACCAAAATACTCACATTATGAGTCTGCTGATGCAGCAAATGCAAAGGCAAAATCCTCTGTAGAGAACTAAAAGCCGTGCCATTCTTCGCTACTTCTTTTCCATTGTGATTGGCAGCTCCACAAATTTCAGGCGTTCTTGCGTCACTCTCCAGTGACTCCCAGCATTAAGATATCTAATATGTGAGAATGGGAAGCCTAAGTACCCCACAAAAACGTTTAATAACAAGCCTGCGATTAAATCCAACAATCATAGCCAAGTCCTTGGTTCACGAAACACAACCACAGGCTTGGGGATTACGACCTCGTTGGAGGCCTTGTTAATGTAACACCAACACCCGAGGGACCTGATCGTACGCAAATATTCTAACCTTCATTGACAACAGTGATCGTTGACGGCTATATGCTTATCTTGTACTGGTCACGAACAAAAGCTATCTTATTCCCCCTTTGAAGTTATATCTACAATTGCCTTGGAGACGTTGCAAATTGAAAACATGTCTTTCCCAGAAAATGTGACAACAAAGTGCCTTGACTTTCGCTTTACCGTATCTGCAGGCGGCCTTAAGGATCGCGGCCGCCTAAACATAGCTTTAGGTAGAAGGTCCGACCTCCAGTTACTATAATCCAGTTGCAGGAGTGACGCTATACCCGAAATAGATGCTTGCACGACGTACCTATTGACTCCGAAGGAGTATAAGTATCATGTCCTCGACGTTGGAAATTCGAATCCTCACCACTCAGCAACTCATCAACTCACTTACAAAGCTTAAACAACTCCTTAGTCTCCAAGACTTTCTAACACATCCGCCAACATGAAGACTCCCTCTGTCGCTGTTATTGCATGCCTTCTTTCGCCCTTGTTGGCTGCTGCTGTAGCAATCCCGGAGTCTACAGAAAGAGCAGACGTTGAAGTTCGCTGTAAGCTTTCCAAACAGTCAATTTTCAACAATTCTAGCAATACTGACCAGGCCAGCCGCTGATGTCGCGCAAGTCGAGAATGTTGAGAATGTTGAGAAGCGAGCAGATTGTTGGATTCGAGCCAATTGGTACAACAACTGGCTATCTGGCGGTTTTCGCCGCTACGGTGTACGCCTCGAAGCAGGCCCAGACAGCCGACGCCAAGATCTTTTGAATCTTTTCTGTGCTATCCTCCAAGGTAAGATTGTCGTTCGCAACCTTTCATGACTTACTAATGCTAACTCATGGCTAAGGTAACGCAAAGCCCAACATCAACAACAAAGCTTGCTACTCTGAGCCTGATGGCTCCTTCAAGGCGGACATTACGACATTCGAGGGTTCGCATGGACATGGCCTGTACCTGGACTTTTTCCAGCAGAACTTCAATGACTGGCGTCGTAGAACGAACTGCGACGTCGACAACCGCAACATGTAGATAGCGATTTGGTCGTGTGGGGAGCTATGAAGGACCTTGGATTACTTCATGGTCGAATAGCTAGTTCAGAAATTTGGTTTAAAGAATCCTACTGTCACTGAAATACAAACGTTTCTCTCTGTATTTAATTATTATATAGTATATTGAGTATTTGATTAACTCTGAATTCTAGCATTTTAGATAACGCAATAGTGGGTATAGATTTTCATGGTATGATTGCGCTGGTATAGGGAGGTGCCATGTGTTACATTGGGTTCCGATCTATACTTCTCTTGCTAGGTCCGCACTAAGGCTAGTTAGCTTTACAATAGTGTTCCATAAGAGTTATCTAGCAAGATAGTAAAGTAGTATACTTATATAGAAAGTAATAAGAAGTTTAATAACCACTATTCTATATCTCTATTAGCTAATAAGTAATAGTATTATGAAGTAAACGAGACCACTGGAACAAATCCCTTTGCAAATCATATCGTTACTCCAACCTTCACCGCGCATCCACACATCGACCCTCATGTCGTCGAGCTGGTCGCATTTAGCCTCGACTTTTCAAACAAGAAAATTACCTCCTTTTCGATCGATCGCAACGGTGTCGTCGACAATCAGCAAATGGTCAAACAAACTCTGCTAGGTGCAGTTCACGACATTGCGATCACCGGTAACTGGATCGTTTTTTGTCAGTGGCCCGTCAGTCTTAACGAAAATGGGAAACCGGGGAAATCGGAAGTCGTATGGGATACTGAGCGGCCCGCTATGTTTATTGTGACTCCAAGTCATCCAGAAGCCCCCTTGGAAGGCTTAGGGTGGAAGCCATATGAACAGCGCATCTACACACATCCTTACAATTCCGAAATGGTTCACACGGAAGGGGCCTGGGAGGTGGACGGAAAGATATATTTTGAGGGCACTTGGCCGCATCACGCCATCTTTTCATTCTGGTCCAATGAGGACGGGTCACCACATGCCATAGAGACGTGGAATGACCTAGTCAGGATTGAAATCGATCCGAGCCAGCCCACGGAGACGCAAATTTCTGATCCGTTTGTCCTTGTTGGTATTCCGAATGAGTTTTGCCGGATTGACGAGCGGTTTCACTGTAGACCGTATGATCGCGTCTTCATGACGTGTTTCACTTTGAGACTGGAGAGGTCCTTATGAAGCCTATATACCAAGGACTGAATGCTGTCGCAATGCTTATCAAGAGCACCGGCGAGTTGAAGATCTACTATCCTGGGGATCAATGCCGTTGCCAAGAGCCTTTGTTGATTCCGCGCTCCGACAATGCCCCCGAAGGTGATGGCTACGTCATATTTGCCGTCAATCGCCTCGATGTTAACCTTACCAATATTGCCATTCTTGATACAAATGATTTCGAGACTCCTGTAGCGGCCATTGAGTTGCCAATTCGTATGCGAGCTCAGATCCATGGCAACTGGGTTGATGCAAGAGAGTTAAGTGGAAAGCCTCTAGTGGCCCCTACCCAACTCCACCATATGAATTATAAACTTTCTTTGGATGACAGTTTTGAAAACTTCAAGGACAAGCTTTAGAGTTTGTGGCCCCGGCCCTCGACTATGTCTACGTAGTTACCGTCCGTTCACCCGTAACGGAACAGTTTGTAGGTACTTTGACTTTGACTTAATCTAAAGTCCACACGCGTAGGAAACCATCAATATCTTCTTTAAATTATATGATAAAGCCAATTTAAAGTGCCTTTGACTCTGCAGACAGGAAGACTACAATCTCGTGAACGCCTTCTTGCCGAATTAGCAATGGGTCTTTGATTTGACGAAATGTTGAGGCATGGCGATAGAGGTGTAAAGCGGTGAAATATCGGCAGAGGTGCGCAATTCAATTGCGTGCGTATCTCGATTGTGGAACACGTTAACTAACTAGTCATGTCCATAGATAGTTTATGCTTTTCACCTTGTTTTATACGTGTAGACACCTCTCTTTAAATGATGGTATTGTTGACATTACAATCGTTGACTTTCCTTCCTAGAGGATTGTTCTTGATAGTATCTTTGGGCGGCCCTGTACGGCCATTTCTGTGTATATCTTCCAAGTCATTATAGGATATTATAAAGCATTTAATTGGTAATGGCTACCTGAGCTACGCTATATGACTTGCTTGTAGATACTGCAGTCTGCTCCTACAAGTGCAGTTCCTGTATTTATGCCAGTGTGATAGTACGCCGGCACATGTGCTTGTTACGGTACGGCATTGGATTGGCGAGCGAACCCCTTATATGCCCCTATGAGGCCCGCGGAAGATCAGTACCCCTAGTCCATGGAAATTGCATAGGATGTCACACAAAAATCACACTGAATTATTCGAGTGACGAAATAATGAATTCAGCTGCCATTTCAGAGGTGGTGCGATGATACAAGCGGTAACAACACTGCATGTGGCCTTTGTATCGTATACGCAACGGACGGGGGTTGAGGCTTGGAAGCTTGGATTCTTTCCAATGTCCGGTAGCAGTGTCTTGACGTGAAGGGCTGAACCGAAAAGGCACAAGTGATCCAAAACAGTGATGTACGAGTAGGCAACAGTCTGGGTACTCGTACGCCGTAGCATACTAGCCCAGGCATCGCAACTAATAAGGCAAGGCTTGGGAATAACATCAAAAAAATGGAGGATCTTTACCGTTATCAGTAGGCTAAAGTACTGCGTCGCAGAGATGAAGCGACAGTAAGACCGTGGCTCGGTCCATTTTGCTGCTAATGTGAGAGCCTGGTCGGCACCAGTAATCAGAACCTTGAAATATTGTGGACCAATTACAGATGTTGGAAGCTTGGCTTTGGGGTCGCATATGGGGGTAAGTTAGGCAGAACAATTGCAGACCACCAGGCAAAAGGGAAGCGGCTGTGATGATGACCAAAGTAAACCAGCGTATCATGCACAAGACGTTACAACAAAACACATATCTGGCTCGTTACCCACCCAATGTACTTCGAAGTATCTTTTATGATCTTTTTGCAGATTTGGACCTCTTTTCTTTTTTTGATGGACCGGTTTGGCGATCGATGCACCATTTGCTTTTTTGTTGGCACATTGCTTACGACCGGGCAAGGTCTCAAAATTGTAGGATCTAGGTATTTATCAAGAAGAGAGGTATTTATAATTGTTTGGAAGGAAGACTTCGTAGCTGTAAGAATTTGTCGACCCATCTGCGCCAACTATACTGAGCATTGCTTTCCGTTTTCCGTGAATTTCCTGGCTTGAGCACCAACTTGATCCTTTGACCATTGGAGTCACTTGATAAAGAATCACGAACATTACTGGGTGTGATTCGAAGTATAATCGTTAAGAATACTATGTTATGAGGATAGGAGGACTAGCTAGGAATAGGTAAGTCGTGCATGTGTGGTATAGATATGAATGACATGATGTCTAGGATGGAGCAGTGTCACAACGGGAAGTACTTACGTTTCCAGTCTTCCCATCACGCGATTACTTCCCTTGGTCAATTGGGTGTGCCTCCTAGCATAAACAATTAACTGAGAACAAATAAATAGGGACTTGAACTGCAAGCTAGGAGGGCGCATCTGTCGACAATTGAACCTTAGTTCGATTCGGGAGGTGGGCGTCGGGTAGCTTCACCACCTTGGGAGTTACGTGATTGAGTTTTTGTTTGTTTGCACTTGTTTTCTCCACTTGTGATTGATTAGACTGATCATGTGATGTAAGAACATACTCTATTGATCTGCCGACTCGATAGGATGCAACGCTCTGATGGAGCTGTACATTATTCTACATGTAAAGAGGGACTTGACTCTTGCTCCTGCTCAATTAGGGTGCTTTGTTTAATCATCGATCTCCGTCATTGGGTTTCTTTACCCATGCTTCCTCCATCCAATATCTGAGGAACTTCCCAACTAACTCCTCACTGATGTCTACTCCGCCTTCCAGGCAAGGCGCCCATCTCTTCGCCTGCGTGGTCTCAAACTTTGGCTGCGAAGCTCCTTGGGCAGATCCATATCTTGTTTTGAAGAATTCAAGCAGCTTGAAAGGCGGGTTGACTTTCACATCCTGGTCTGAGGCTTCTAGTCTATGCACCCATTCTCTCTGGGGCACTGCCTCAAATTCTAGCCCATATTTCTCCAAGCGGGGCAAGAACTGCGCATTCCAGAGGATGGGCGCCTCGTTGACAACATGGAGCACGTGAAACTTCGCACCGTTTTGCTCGGGTGACAGTGCTATCTGTGCCAATGCCTCTGCTGCAACATCGACTGGCAACCAACTCTCTTCCTCGTCATCATCCACTACCGGCAACGCCCCAATTGTGCGGGCCGCCTGTACCGTCATCGGGAACGCCTCAGCCGAATTCCATGTACCCCACTCGGTATCCCCACACACCTGTCCCAGCCTCACAACCCGAGCGGGAACTTGGGCTGTCTCCGCAGCTGCGGCAGCCATGTGCTCCGCTACCCATTTGCTCTGTCCGTAGCCCATTCCAGCAACAGCACACCATGGGTGCAGGGTCTCAGGAATGGCGTGGGATGGCTGGGCGCATAGGGCAGCGGCGATACTGGAGACGAAAGTGAAAACAGGTTTTTGAGAGCGGAGAGAAGAGGCGGCGAGAGTAAGGAGAAAGTGAGTTGAGCGAAGAGAATCCTGCTCGAAACTACGGAGTGAATGGTTGAAGTTGACTGACCAAGCGTTATGAATGATGTGAGTTACAGATCGGGAGAACAATGTAAGAAGGCGAGCAGAAAGACCAAGATTAGGTGCAGTGAAGTCGCAGGGAAGAGCAACAATCTTCGAGAGGTGGGTTGCGGGATCAGTATGGGAGAGGAGACGGGCGTGCTCTAGGGCTGAGTGGATGCGGGTATAGGCTGCGGAGCAGTCTGAAGCGCGAACAGGACAATATACCTGTGCTACAGCAGAATTGGTGAGGAGGTTGTGAAGCAAGTGGGAGCCAATTGCCCCTGTGGCGCCGGTGAGAAGCACGCAAGATGGTCCCTCATCGATCGTACCCAAGGGAAAAGGTGTGAAATTAGAGTACTTCTCCAAGAGCGCCTGGGCAAGCGCTTCGGAAGAGTCCTCTTTGGTAGAGAGTCCTTGTCGAAGGTCGAGCAGATGACGGGTCAATAGAGAGATGTTGGCATGTTCGAAGACGGCGTTGGTGGCGAGCGTGGCACCGCGAAGGTGAATGCTTTTCACGATACTAGACCGCACATTAGAGGCCTGTAACGAGTCCATACCCAAAGCGAAAAAGTCGGCCTCATCGTCGATCGTCGAGAGGTTCAAGGCCGAAGTAACGATATGCCGCACTCTTGATGCGATTTGGTCATCTGACACTTCAACCGCTTCGTTCGTCGCTCGTGATCGTGCTTCATAGTATTCCTCGATGTCAGCAGCGAATGACTTCAGAAATTGAGGTTTGATGACGGTGTCCTTGTCAGTGCGAGGGAAGGGCGTGTCTGCTTTTTTGACGATGACCGCATCAGGAGATATTCGCGCATACCCAGGGACACGAGAATTACCCAAGTCCAGATCGGCAGCAATACTTTCCAGAATTTCTTCCTTACTCAGTGTCTTAGCGGTATCTGACGCAACCACAATCATTCCCAGTGAGTCCCGCTCCGCTCCAAACACGACTGCTGCGCGTACGTTAAGGTTCCGCGATACTGCGTCTTCTAGGGGCGTGGGATCTGCTTTCTCCCCATTTATCAGGACGATTATATCGTCCTGTCTGGCCACGAACCTCCATACGGCTGGGTCCGTCGGGTGGGGCCGAAATACATCTTTCGTGGCGTACGACCCATCCTCACGGTTAGAATACACCTTGGCGGGAAGCCCAGGCATCACGACAAGATGGAAATTACCTTCTCCAACAGGCTCGAATTTCAAAAATGGTACTGCGTGCGCCAGTGGGGTAACCCACCGAAAATCTGTTGGCCAGGCTTCCATCAGGGCACCCGCTTCAGTCAGACCATAGAGATGATATATGCGCGCTTTCTTGGCCAACAGAACTTCTGCTAGGTCGTTCGGGATTGCTGATCCAGCGACAATGACCTGGGTGAGACTGCCCAGTCGCTCGATACCACCGGGAATCTCAGTGAAGAACTTGAGAATGTCTAAGAGTTCGTTTCTCAGTATATGGAAGCAGTCGAGCAAAGCGGGAAATTTTCTTACATGGGACAGTCACCAGCGCCTTGGACGATGTCCGTTCGATTGAAGCATTGATGATTGATGCGGTTATCGGCCGGTTGGCATTCGAGATTGCAAGTGTCGTACCATTGACGAGACAGCGGAGTAAAGTAGCCAGGCCAAAACTATGGAACAAAGGCAGTGTCGTCAAAGTGTTAGCGCGAGGCATTCGGGCGGCCACCATAGCTGCTTGCGCCAACCACGCGCTTGGAGAGAGTACAACTGGCTTTGGCAAGCCTGTCGTACCACCGCTGTGGATAACGAACTCTTGCTTACTATCAGCTGGTACAGGCGGTATCTGTCCGTCCTCAAGCCCCAGTTTAGATAGCGCTTGCAGATTCAGGAGGGGTATAACAACTGCTGGCGAACCGCTTGTCTCCCGGACTCGCTCCATCGTTTTCACAGATCCCTCCGCCGCGATGACCACCTGGCATTCTGTAGCAGCCAAGAGATGCGCATATCCTTGGTCTGCGAGCCGTGGAGACAAGAACATCGACGTCAAACCCAACCTTTGCAATGCAAAAAATGCAATGTAATAGTCAAGACTGGAGACTCCAACTAGAGCCACTCTGAACAGACCAGGCTTCTTGGGAAGCGCTTTACGATATGCCGTCGCTGCAGCTCTGGTCAATCGCTCTATGTCAGCCCCAGTGTAATTCTGAAAAGCACCATTCTCATCCGCGTAGGAGAGAATTGGCTTGTCAACATGCGTCTTTGCACGATCTCGGATCAGCTGATCGATATTCGGGTAGAAAGGTTCCTGTGTCACGGCCATATCTTCTGTACCGAGCGGATTGACGGAATATTAGAATGGAAATAGATGTATTAAAAGAACAAACGACGGCTTGGGTGATACGTCGTAGTAGGAATGGATAAAGTGAGACTATAAGGTTCCAGAGGAGTTGTCCTCTGAGTTCTAAGACTGCGGCATGATAGCAGTGAGATCGGAGCGTTTCGCAGGAATCTGTTGACGAAGAGCTGTTTCTGACCCGCAAATTTCAACCCCACCCAAAACAACACATGCCGACAGAATCACCGCACACTGAAGAAGCAATACATTCTACACAAGGGACTCCATGCTCGACATCATCCCACTTTTGCGTTATCTTGCAGAATTGCTGATCGTATCATGGAATGCGCCGGAGCTGTACGTGCAACGCTACATGGCACAAGTTTTGTACGGTAGGGACGCTAAAATCTCATATCCGGCGCCACTTCGGACGAATCTTTACCTAATTTCCGTAATATAGCACGAGCCCAGACGCTAACACGCAGACGGCAGCTTACTCGCGACAAGCGGCTCATAATACAGACACTACGCAGAGGCAGGTTTACATATTAAGCAAGCGCCAACCACCTTAAGTTTACTATTTAACAGATACAGTACAGGCTTAGGAGCAGATTACTCTAGAATATCTAGGTAATCTAGTAGCTGAGATAAGCGATAGGCGCCAAGCTGTGATATACGCCGAGGGCAGTCATACTAAATATTGATTAGTGTTTTATTACCATCTGAAATCAGATTAGCTCGAACAGACCCTTGCTAGTGGCCCACATACATTATTTCTGCCAGACAGCATAGTATGTCCTTTTCATGCACAAAATCGGCTCATAGGTACTTGCCTGCACCATGTTTCGTTACTGCCCCTGTTACCTTAGACTAGTACGCAGAGCCGCCGAAGAGCACGGGCCAGGACATGGTATTCATCGGCAGTCACGATAGCAGAGCTGCTATAGTAGTTTGTTGGCGTGCGTATAGGCTTAGCAAAGATTAATATACAGGGGGCGAGAAGATTAGTCCAGACTTCTGCAAAGTCAGCGTGCGTATATTACAGCTGCGCTTCTATCCGTGAACTTAAAAAAACCAAAGACGCAATGAAAGGGTGTTGATAGGTTAGCGCGTTTAATTTTTTGTGTTATAGTATTGAATAGCTCACCACTTAGCTGCCCAAAGCGAGCTAGTCTACTCATCAAAGAGCCAAGACGTACGTAGTGTCTATGCTGTTATCAAGAGCCTTGCTGCAGGTGAATCGGCAAGTAGGTGTGGGTAGAGGTAAGGTTAGTTAGGCTCATGTAAGAACTAACCCTGCATCTTCCTGTACCTACTACTTGCCGACCTAATCTCACTAATTAGCCCCTGATGTCCCTAATAGGACAGGAACTATACCCCAAATACCTATTGATTATAGCTGATTCAAAGGGTCCAGATTCTCGACATCACACGGGATACTGTTAAACCTTCTGGCCGATACAGTCAGCTAATTGCATGGATGCCGTCTTAGCAAACGAGAAGGTTTATTCGATTCAATTTGAAATGCAAACTACATGATGATTGACTGAAACTCAAAGTACAGCATGAACGACGCTGTGCACCGGCTCATCGACACAGTTGAGTGGTGTACACGGTCGTCCCTTTGTGAAATATTCCTGCACGTTATCCAAACACTCTTGCTCGGCTAGTTCGAATGAACCTTCCGTCAGTCCGCCCATGTGCGGAATAGGAACCACCTTATCGCTCTCCAGAAAGTATGGGTCGATGCCTGTCGGCTCGTTCTCAAACACGTCTAGTCCCGCTCCAGCCAGTTTGCCACTCTCCAAAGCTCGAATCAGCGCCTGGTTGTCTACGATAGCACCCCGAGCAGTGTTGATAACATATGAGCCGTCTTTCATCAACAGGAACTGTTTGTCGCTGATCAGATGCCAGGTACTTTGATCTAGCGGACAATGAAGTGAGACAACATCCGAAGTCTGCAGGAGCTCGTTCAGAGTCGCGCAGTGCACTGAACCAGCGGGGGCTCTATTTTGCACCGCTTTACCGTTCCTGCTGTGATACCTAACCTGCATGCCCAACGCTGTAGCCTTATGTGCGAGAGACATTCCTATACTGCCCATTCCCACGATGCCCAAAGTGATGGATCTCAGATCCCGTGACAGAGGTAGACGGTCTCTCCACCGTCCCGAGCGCAGACTCCGTTCTGCGTGATTTGTGTTACGGACTACAGCCATTGTGAGGAAAAGAGCCATTTCGGCAGTGGCGTCGACGGTAGCGTGTTTGGTGTTGCAGAACCAGATGCCCTGTGTCGTCATCCAGTCGACGTGGAAGTCGTCGAAGCCTCGCTGGGCCGACACCACGATGCGGAGATCTGGTAGGAGAGGGCTTAGAAGTTGGGCGTCGAAGGGCTCGTAAGGCTGAGGTCCAAGTCGGCAGACTAAAGCCTGGTATGGACCGCGGGAGGCCACTATCTTGGGTATGCCTTCGAGTGCCTCTGCTCTGGTTGACACATCAAGAAACTGGGAAACATAGTAAGTAGAGGATTCTCGAGCAAAGGCTCCTCTTAACGTACATCGATGTCGAACAGTTCAGTATATTGGTCGCGAATCCTACTAGACTGATGTTTGGGAAGACCAAGGTACAAGACCTTTGGTTTGTGGGCGAAGCTCTTTGTCTTGTCGAACATTTTCTCAAAGCAACCAAGCGTACTATACTCAAGTGTATGATCACGCCCAGTCAGAATTCTTAGTTTATGAGTCACTGCTCACTACATTCATATATCGCTTTTCTGCAGTGTTTCATAGTACCTAATATGCCCCCAGCACTCGATAAGCTTGGCCACCGGTGCAAAGAAAACACTATCATACGAGCTGCCTCTTAGGGCACGGTTTACAATCCGGCAGATCTTTAGTTACGCAACCAGTTACTAGTATACATGGGTAAGTTTCGTTAGCTCAATGTATTAGCCAATAAGATCTAGAATAAAATAATCCGCACTAGGAAGATGTTCATAATTTTTATTACTGTACAAGGGTATAACAAGGATTGCTAAGAAGTACATTAAGAGCCGAGCAATAGGAGTAAGGATACGAGTAAGGATAAAAGCACAGATTCCTACTAGCGTGCGATAATAATTTGATACCTCTGTAATTAAAATAGTTTTATATAAGCATTATTTCGGGAGAACTTAGTATCTGCGGATAATACCTCTTCTAGAATAATCTTAAGATAAGAATCGAACTAACGAAATATCCCCATGTATACTAGTATATAAAGTATTTTGCTCCGTAGTACCGGCCGACATAGTGGCGTCTCTAAGGTGCACAATCGGACCGCTAATATACAACGGCATATAGGTACGGCAGCCTCTACACGTTATCTCCTAACAAGTATAATGCTTGCGTTGCTTGTCACGGGCTAAGATGTACATAGCTACGTTGCTTAGATACCTAGGCTGGCACGGGCGGTACGGCTTATCACTAGCTTCTATATCAGGGCCTATTTAATTATGCGTTCCATAGCTGCGTTTAAATTACCTATTAAGGTATCGAGCTTCGGTAGGTATTGATATAGAGAACCCTTGCTAGTATTGTAATTTTACTTTTCTACATTAAGATAGAATATAGAGAGCCGGATAGTGTGGTAAATGGGTCTCCACCTTCGGGATCGTTTTTTTCAATTATATCTCCCAATCCTTACCCGATTAGGAAGGTTAGTA